TTGGCATTGCAGGCTCAGGTTTAGCATCACGGCAATTTGATGTCATTGGCAGCTCTGCCCCGTGCTGGGCAGGGGGACTGTCAGAGCCGGGTAAGGAAACTCATGCTGTCTCTGCCCACATCATCTCTGTGTATTTCAACTGTAACCAGGAAAAGGAATATAAATATAGATGATGATTTAGACTTTAAAATACTGAGGATGGTGACTATGACGCAGCCAAGAGTTCCTGTCTGAGGTGGGATTGAAAATGTGACTTTACAGAGCATTTCTACTTCTGGCTTGGGGGATCAGGCTGCAGCTTTATCCCTTTTGCTGTGACAGAGGCATGCACAGCTCTGGGGATGCAGAATGCTCCGAAATCATGTGGCCAGAGGGACCTGAGGTGCCTGTTATTTCCATGCCCGTAAATTTTCCAACATGCTTCTTGAGTAGTCTCCCACTGCTTGCTCTCTGCATCTGTCTGTGCAAAGCGAGCAGACCAAAGCGCTGTTGAGGAGCGGGAGTGCCGGTGCTGATCCTTTCTTTAATGCCTTTTTGATTTTCTTTTTCTCATGGAAAAAAATAAAATATGTGTCAGAAGGTGCATTGCTGGAGCCTTACCCACTGTTAACATAGGCTTAGTCTGAGTGGAATTGCATGGAAAATTTGGTTTTAAAGAGCAGTCATGCATCTGTTAGGCAGGGGCTGCTGTACCATGGCTCAGCATGGGAACGTCACCGTCATAAGAAGCTCAGGCTGTGGTGACTTTGCCCTGCAGCCTGCACATGCCGAGGCACCAACATCTGTGCACTGCTGTTGTTAGCCCTGCTCACAGTAATTCAGGATCCGGGTCCCTTTCCATCCCCCTGGCCTCAGCCCCATAACCCACCAGTCTGGGACAGGCTCCTTCTGGAGCACAGCTGGGTGTGAAGGGTTAGGGACAGGCACGGCAGGGAACTGCACAGAAACACCCGAGTGTGGTCTGTGGAAACTTTTTATCTCATCTGCGGACAAGACCTGCTCGGTGGTACAGGCGATGGGTTTGGTGGCGTCCCCTTGTGAGAGGCATAGCGATGGTGAGAACACAGCAATAACAGCCAAAGGAATAAACACGCCTCCCGAATTCTGTTTTTCCTCTGTCTTTATGTCTTGCTGGGATTTTCTATTATCACCGAGTCAGAAACAGATTTATAGCCTGTGAGTATGATTAATTTCCATTTTGCACCTTGCTATGATCTCAAAGCAAACCGGCCTGGCTCTTTGGTTTCTCAATATTCTTGAAAGCAAGGAAAACTTTGAGCTTGGAGTAAAATTTCCAAGCAGCTTTTCCCAAACAAAGCCAGGCTGTGCTTTCACTGGGGGAACAAGAAGATTTATCACCCTGCCCTTACTCAGACTGCTGTCCTACTATGGTTTTACGATGTTTGGGGTTATATTAATGGGCCATGCAGACAGTCTTTGGTGTATTCTTTCATTTTTATTATTTTGATCCCTTAGCAAAGGCATGCGATGCCAGTTTAAATGCTTTAGATTTACTGCTGTGATGGAGGAGACAAGTATCAGTTTCTAAAGCTTATAGATCTATTGACCTTATTAAGTTGTATAAGCACAGTGGGCTTACCCACAAGCCTTGTGTTGGGTTTCATACGTTTTCCATACAGAAACAAAAGGAGAGCAACACAGAGATGCAATACACTGTTTTTTAGTAGATCAAGTAGGAAAATAGATGTGATTGTTGTTGGCTTTGCAGGGAAGTAGAAGATATTGCTGCTAATTTATGCTCAGAAAATGCAAATTTTATGGATGCTGGAAATTTTTAGTATGTTTCTTAATGATTCATGTGACCTATGATATCTATCAGTGAACCTTACCTGAGGGGTAGGGCCTCAGACTGGGTGCTCTGCAGGCAAAGCGGAAGACAGAAATGTCAATTGCCACTTGCTCTGTTAAACCTGATTCATCGAAACCTGAAGTGGGAATATCGAGAACGCATCTAAATTTCCAGATATGCTTCATGCATGCAAATCACAGCTGTGGTGCATTAAATTATATCCCTAATACCTAGATAAACTCAAAGCTAGACGCATGTGTGAGGTCTTGACTCCTCACTCTGTCCAGATAACGCCACCACCGTGTGCATCTCAGGAGCAGACACATCCCTCGAGCCCGGTGCTGGGTTGGTAACTTCTCAATGACTTGTACTCACACAGCTGAAATCTCCATCTGCCTCATGTGAAAGAAGTTTGTGGTTACCCAGCTGGTCAGAGCCTTTGAAAATCCATAATCTGCTCTTTTATTTTTGGGGAAAAAACAAATGTCACTTCCCTGTCCCCTCTTAGAGTCAGGTCCTAAGGACAGGAGTCTGTCTCAGGAGACTTTCCTGGCACAATCAGTAACAGAAAGCAATCTGGAGAATTTTGCTAAAAAAGATCTTATTGTGAGCATTTATCACATGAGCATGAATGAAATACCTTTAAACCCTCAGATTAACTATAGATTTCTTCCTGGTTCCCAGGCCAGAGGTGATTAATTTTGCAATGGAAATTCGCTACCTATGTGAACATCTTTCCCTTTGCCACTTCTGTGTGAAACAACCTTAATGAGCATATTTGATGGGTTTTCCTCCTTCTTTCAGAAAGTCACACAAGAACTGTCTTCTCACATTGTTTGAGGTTTCAGTAACCTGCTTCTGTGCTCCATGGCCCACAGCACTGCCCGCTGTCCAGGACCACATAGCCTATGGTGGTGGTGGTGCCCATCTCCTTGGTGTCCCCTGGGAACTGCTGGATGGCCCCACTCAGTTATCTGCTTGCCATCTCCTCATGCTGAAGGAACCCACAGAAACAGGCTCGGGGCACATCTCATGTCCAAAGCTTGTGAGCTAGAAATATGGCCCAAAACTTAGAGATGCAACAAAGGTTGGCATAGGAGGTACAGACCAGGCACCAGGAACTCAAAGAACTCATGATTTTAAAAAATAAAATAAAATGAAATGAAATGAAATGAAATGAAATAAAATAAAATAAAATAAAATAAAATAAAATAAAATAAAATAAAATAAAATAAAATAAAATAAAATAAAATAAAATAATAAAATAAAATAATAAAACAATTTTTAAAAGCTACTAATGCACCAAAGGTTTCCCAAAGAGTCTGAGGTACAGTTCCATGTTGAACCTAGAAATCCTAAACTTTAATCACAAGGTTATTCTTGTCCTTCTCTTCCACAAATGTTGTGGGAAGGTTAATTTTGTATTAAAATGGAGTTAAACTAAATGTGGATACAATGAAAGGGGATGCTAAACTTTTCTCAGGCAGAGTCCAACATGAAGAGCTGCTTTTCTTTGCAGCAGAAACATGGGCTAATCCGCTTATCGGTTGGAGTTGGAGGTCCTGTACGAGTTGGGACTGGAAGTCCAATTCAAACAAAAGGATTTTCTCTCTGAATAAGAGAACACATACTGCATATGCAAATAGTCAAATGTTCTCTTTATGGCTTGCTTACTGTGGTGTTTAAATCAGGCTAATTTCATTTTACATTTCTGTAATAAGTCCTGAAACACTTTACCAGCAATGATAAACATGTACTTTTAAAAATGTAAGAATCATTGGATTATGCAAACCAGTGGCACGATCAACACCTCCATATGCAGTGATAATGAAAATATATTCAATCACAACCTCAGATCAAATTATGACTTTTTTTTTTCCCTGTAAGCAGTATTAAAACCTCTTAAATGCCACTACATTTCTTCCAGCTTTATCTGAAGACCTTACTGCTTTGTACTTCCTAGAATTAAATGCAGCTACATCAGGAGACTGAATGTTCCAGGTAAAGTTGCCATAATTTATAAAAGCTCAGGTCTCCCTGAAGACTCTCACAGAGTTCCCATCTGGAGCCCTTGTACATTGATTTTTCAGTGTAAACACCAAAAGAAACACAACATTCAATGCTGCTGAGTCACTGGCGAGTATGTCTCTAACACTGGGTGACTGTCAACAAAAAAGATCTCTAGCATTTTCATTCAAAGGGAAAAAAAAAAATAATATATATATTTTTTTTCAGCATTCCCTCACCTATGCAGATTAACATTCAGAGAATTTGTGGGACTCACTGCTTTTCCAGCACCCTGTATAAATAAACCATGGGATCCTGTAAAAAGCTGTGCTATTCCTAATATTATTGCAGTAACAAACAATGCTCGTAGACACTAAACATTTGTTCTATTGATGGAGATTAATGGAATTTTTTTAATCCTACAGAAGACTTTAAGACTTTAAACTTAGTATAGTCTAATATATGTCTGTATGCAAGAGAAAACGTTAATATCCAAAGAACTTTAGTTCTAAGTGAAACAGTTTTAAATTGCTAAAGAGTTGAAAATTAAAAGCTAAAAATAAGTATGTAAAAAAAAAAAAAAGCTATATTGATGCAATTCATTGTGCTAAGTATTGTAGCTGCTCTGATTATAACAACATTCTTTGAAGAATATTTCTATTTAAGTGCACTTTTGCTATTTTTCCCCTGTTGCCAGTCTTTACAAGGTCTTAATATGATGTATTGGAAGCAGTAAAAAATCTTGAAATATATTTTTGAGATCTTTAGACCTTTGACCATATTTGCTAAGATGATACAGACTTAACAGTAAACCCACTTGAAAGACATTTTCATGGAACACTTTAAATGAAATCAATTGGTAGTTTCATAATGGCAGCTGAATGTGTGTTCTTGCCATTTTCCCATTTAACAAGAAGAAAAGGCCAAACAAGGACCAATTAGTCATAATAAAATCAGCTTTGATGACATTTTCACTCCTGAACTCTGGTATAAAATGGTCATCTAAGAAAGCGCTGAAAGGATATGTGAGGAATTTGTTAGAATAACTGCATGTATATACATACGCACCCCTGAGTAAAAAATGATCAGGTAAAAATATAGCCGTTTACTTTGTATTTGGAAAAAATGTAGTGTTTGTGTGTTTAAATGTATGTACAGAGATTGATTTTGTTTTAAATTGTATCTGATCACAGTTTGTCTTTGAAGTTTATGCAGGTTAAACCTTCTTTTCATCCTTTGGATCTCAACGATGTTTGTGTGCTCGGGTTACCCAATTGTCCCTTCCATGGTAAGTCGTGCTCCCTACTTACTTGAAGATTGGATGTTTCATTTCTTTTAAATATCTTTTGTTGTTGTTGTTGTTTGGTTGGTTGGTTTAATTTTTTACTAAATGAAAGAAGCTTTTTATATCAAGGCTATTGAATAAATACTATCTATTTTTCCTGCAATATAGCTCATTTTTGCTTTAGTTACTCATAAAATATGCAAATTTCTAAAATAATCATATGAGAAATCTGTTGTGTATTTAATGCGGAGAGTGGAGAACTTCTGCTGAAGTTGAAATATGTTGAAAAGCAAAAAACATAATCTCTTCTCCATTTCATCTCAATTCTTTGTCAACATCCAATAGGTACAATAGCATATGTATATTTATTCCATTTGCTGAAAGGCAGCTTAAAAGTCGGTAAATATATTAGTCATTGTTATTAATAGCATATGCAGGTAAAGGAGAAATTCTTATATAAAGTTATGAAAAATTATTCTATAGAATCAGTAACACAACTTTGGTTGAATTATTCAAGAAAGCTGAACAGCCTGTAAAACCAAAGTGAGCATGTTATTTGAAATAAATAACACTAATATTCCCTCCGTTTCTGATCTTGACCAGGTAGTATGACAGACTGATGGTCCAACCAGATATTCACCATTTCAGACTTTGCAATGTCGAATGAGATATTTTATTTCAAATGACATCCAATATTCCTGCTTTGGACAAAGTCTTGTTTAGACACCTTGTTTCTTTACTGCTGTAAAATCAGCTCTTGGAGTCATGGTTCAGGTTTCTGGGTCTCCTCCGGTGTGTTTTGCATCATTATCTTTTCATTAAGGAGATTGTCTCTGGCAGAAACACTGGCTACTCATGCAGCTGTTTAGTTTATGGATGTGAAGTTCCCATTAGATTTTATCTATCCATCTCCTGCTTCCTCTGTATGTTTTACTTCTGTAAATGCTGAATCATCTCTCATTTCTGATCACAGCTAGTTAGGCAGAGCTTGATCTGACTAGCCACGTTTCTTAATGATCTCTTTACGGCAATGACATAATAGGTAAAGTGAGTTGAATTATTTAATATAAATGAATACCTTGCATGTCAAAATAGCAGTCGTTTATTCAGCAGTGTAAGTTCCTGTACAGGTTGTGAGGTAGGAGCTAAAAGCTCAGAAGGGAACTTCTCTGTGTCTTTGTTTCTTGCAGACAGTATTTCTTCCTGTTAGAAAGAAAGTTCTGTCTGGGTGAAATAGAAAAGATTTGGTGGCAAAATACTGTGGTTAGTGACTACTAACCTGGGTGTGTTTATCTGCCCCAGACTCAAGCAAGCTTTAGCTTGCAGAGAGAATAGAGAATGTCCCTTTTATATGCACAGAACAGAAAAAATCTAAGTACTTAACAGTGTTAATAAAAGCACTAGCACACTGAATTAAAACTAATTTTAGTGAAGCTAATGGGAATTTCATCGTCAATTCCAGTGAAGGCAGGTGTTCACCCGGTGGTTTTGCATGCAGCCATTTCCCAAAGAAGACAGTATGGAGAGGCTTAGAAAGGATGGCAGGGAATACTTCTCTTTTAAACAGCTAATGAACAAGCTTGTAAATCATGATATGGTGAAGGATGCTTATAACCACTGTAGACATGTCAGGAAATGTTTCAGTTTAAATTCAATGTTACTTTAAATGCAGTATGACTTTTTTAAAGTTTTGATGTTGTTTAGATTTTATAATGTAAAGTGCAGTAAAAGGACATACTTAAATCTGTATGGATTTTAATCCAGGCTTTTTACAATTCCATTACTATGTTGTCGTTATTAAATTTAACTACTCCCATAACTAGTCATAACTACTAGAGAGCTTCCTACCTCCTTTTTCTGCTTTACAGACATTTTCATTTTCTCTTATCTGTCATTTAAGCTAAATGACTTCACACAAGTGATAACAAGATGCTGTTACATTGCTAACTGAAAAAAATCTCATTTTATGGCAATAAATATGCATGATACTCTGGGGAAAATGTGTTGCATGTCACAACAGGTCAACATCATGGGAAACAATCCATTTCATAAGGTAAACATAATTTGAACAGTATCAGTATTTTAAATCTGAAATGCATCAGTTACATTTCCTATAAAGCTATAAAAAAATCTGATTCTGAGTACAACAAACCTTAGTAAATAGCAGTTCAAACTTGTCATTCTAAACATAAATTGTTCTTGTGTTTCTGCTTTGCTTTTTATACTGAACAAGTCCTGGCAACTACACAAATCCATAATTTTACCTTTCCTTTTCTTTCTCTCTCTCTCTCTCTTTTTTTTTTTTTAATCTATTATTTTTATTTATTTAATTTTTTATCTTCAGAGCAGCAATCCTTTTTATTTGAATTGCCAGCTGTATGGAAAATCTGATTACTGCCTCGTCCTGCTGAATAACTGCTTAGCCAAGGTGGGCAGGAGCGAAGAACTGGCTCTTTTAAAGCCTTACCTGGAGATGCCTATCAATAAACGGTCCTTTCGCAATGGTGTTGGATCAGGAATTAAAAAAACTTCCTTTCGAAGAGCAAAGTCATAAGCAAGTGTTCCAAACCATACTCTTGATTTTAGCATTTGACGCTTAACTTTGTGCTTAAAATCATTTTAATGCTTTTCTCTGATAAAGCTAACAGAGACAAATGTACCCGTGTCTTCATCTTGTAAACAGATGTTTATTTCAAAGAGCACAAGCCAAGTGGAGCAGATGGAATTGCTCAGAACAGGCTTTGTTTCCAAAGTTACAGTATCATAAAGTTTTGTATGGAAATGAATGTTTTCATTCAGTTAATTCCCCTTCTTTGTAAAGCTACAGATTTAATCAGCTTGCTCTTGATTAATACAAAAATAGCCGTGTGCTTTTCCTAGCAGGGCACACGCAGCCTGCCTGCAGCACCTACAGCATTGCTACCACCACCTGCACCCCGCAAACCAGTCCCAAACCCCATTTTCTTGCAGACAGCTGCCCCACCAGCCTTAGTGCACATTTAAAAGACATTTAATTTCAGATTTCCGAAAGGTGTGATGGGCCAATGGTGAAAGACAGAATCTGGCCCTGCTTGTAACTTCTTGTTTCTTTTTAATATAGTTATTTAAAATGATTTTACCAGGGAATAATCTCTTGATATGTGTCATCTCATTTCCAGAAGAGTCCTGGGAAATCACTGTAAGGCAGGGTATCAGTGCAGCTCCCTCTGCCTCAATTAATTGACTTAGGTAGGCAATGCACATCTGAAATCATGAAAAACATGAAACGAGCCCAATGTGGTTTCTGCTCATCAGCTGAAGTTGTGGTGCAGTGATTAACAACGCTCTTTTAAAATTTCCTGTTAAGAATAATAATTAAAAAAAAGAAACGAGAGTGATTTGATCTGAAAATATGTAAGTGTTGTGTGCAGGAAAGGTAATCTGCTGAGTTACGTACGTGTGAGTTTTACCTTGTGGCTATCTCCTCCTACGAGCTGTAACCTTGCTTTGAAAATGTTGCAGTGTCCATGCAATGCTTTTTGAATTCAAAGCTAAGATAATAAACAAGTATATGGATCCTTTCTAATATTTCCCGATTAAATATCACGATGCAGGAGAACATTATTCAATGTGGAATAAGGTCAGGTAGCATCATCAAGTCCAATCAATGCTGATAACATCCCCACATTTTGCACCCCTCAGCTCATGGAGAAAGGTGACATGAGCACGGAGCGGTGCAAGTGTGGTTACGGGGTTCCTGGACAGCAGGAGATTAAACACGCTCCTCTCTGCACATGTTCACGCTGAAATGGCTGAAGCATCGTGCTTTTAAAACCTGCTCAAACGCTTCCACTCCTTTTGGGCTCTGTTGCCGTCAAGGTCACTCACACAGCTCTTAGTCAAGTGGCACCTAGAGACCTTTACAAGTCTGTAAGGAAAATGTTAGGTGGCAATTATTCCCATGCAATTATTCTGACTTGTGAGCTGTCTGGGTGGGAGGAAGCACAGGTCAGCAAACACGGCGGCACGCAGGCGTTTGGTTGTGGCAGGGAACCTGCCCTCCTTCATTCCTGGCTGCTGGGATTTCAGATGTGGCAGATGTTCTGCCAATGCAAGCTGCTAACTTGAAAACTCTCCAGAACAGCCCAGGAAGCAATGTTTTAACGTGCTTGGCCGTGTGAAAATGAAGGCTAGGTGGGCATCCTGCGCCATCTCCATGCAGCATGTGGGTAGGGGTTGCCGATAGCTGTGCCTAACACAGCTCCAGGGTCCCAACAGCGGTGTGCTTTCCTTTTCATTTCTTAAGAAAAAGAAGTTATTGGGATTTAATCGTGCCCTTGTGCAGACATAAGGTGTGTATTTCCATCCGTGCGTGTCTCTGCCTTCCGCAGCACAGTGGCTTTTTGCTGCAGTGCAGACACCTGGGGGCTCTGACCCGCTCCCCGCAGCGCCCAGCACCACCTGGCTCCTTTTTCAGGGAAAATAAATAAATAAATAAATAGATAAATAAAAGTCCAGATTCAGCTTTCTCTTTGGGTTTTCAAATCCACTATGGTAAACTTTTTTTTTTTTTTTTTTCTGCTTAATGAAATATGTTTCTGCCTTGGTAAGATCTGATAAACTTGGTTGTCTCTAAGCCACCAGAGCTATACGTGTAGCTTTGAAAATCAGCCTCTTCCTTTTTGTTTATTGTGCAGGTGTACAACCAACCCATTTATAGTGTTTTGGCAAGTGCCTCTGAGCGGAGTATGCTCAGGAGGGAGAGAGAAACAATATCATTCTTGCACAGACCTTCACCCCCTGTTTGAAAGTGTGGGCTGCAAGAAAAATAGCTTCTTGGCTACAGGAAAAAAACTCTTATTTATGATTTAGTCATTTGCTGACAAGCCTCTCTACCTTGAGAGATCTGCATATACAAAAAAAGCTGGTGGGAGGAGGCCACCAAGAGCCGTAAGTCTTGCACTCACCTAAATCACCCAGGGCAAGCCTGAGAAATGCAGATTATCCAGCAGATTTGCAGAAGTGGTGCTGCCATCAGTGGGCTGATCTCCATCGCCACAACCTGAAAACTCGCATCACCTGTGCTGCCTGCCACATGAAATGCTAAACTCCTTTCTGAACTGTGAAGGTGGCTTTATTTTGTAAGGAACAGAGAGTAACCTCAGCGATCTCTGTCAGAAAACAAGGATCTGAGGGTGCCACTGCTGAGTACATTAACTTTTACTGATAGGAACTGGGAACGTGTCATAAGAAGTCTTTTTCAGAGCAGACGGGAGAGTAGGAAGGCTGCAGAAAAGCTGGCCCACAGCACGATTAACATGCTGTAATGAATTAGATTCTGCTCTGCGGAACAGGGAGTCATTACTCTGCAAAGGCATTTTTGTTGACTTTCTTTGCTATTTTTCTTTGCTAAACTAAGAGAAAGAGAAAGGATAAACCAATTTAGAGGGCAGGCAGAATGATGTTTTGTCTTGGGCCAAGTCGGCAAGCTGGGAATGCCTCGATCCATCTCAGCCCTTGATAGCAGTTTGGTCTGGGATCTCCGGGAAGTCACTTCATTTCTGCTCCATTTCTCCAGCTGAAAGATATAAAGTTATGTTCCCCAAGCCACCTCACAGAAGCAGCCTGCTGACCGACAGATTTTGGAGGTGTTTAGGAGCTAACCACAGGTGAGCTGAGGCAGGACAGGGTGGCCTCCTTTAGAGCTAGCCCTGGGGCTGGGGAAGGGACGTGAGCTCTGCCCAAGGCCCGCAGCACCCTCAGCACCTCCCAGCCTCCGAGGAGCCCTGTGCGTGTCACATCCAGGCCAGTTCCCAGGTTTATGAGCTGGTTTTGGCTGCCTCATCCATCACTCCAGTTACCGCTAAAGAAAAGGGCCAGATGCTCATGTCCTTGAGTGATGGGCACCCTTTACACCTCCCCTTTCAAACGCAGCTGTTGCAGATTTATATCAGTCTTGAGCTAGTAATGCTGTTCATTCTCTTCTTTTGTGATCATGCATCCTTTAGCTAGGCACATTAAAATGCATTTAGAGGACATGAAGGATCCCTGACTGCACAGGGATTTTTACCCTGCTTTGCTCTAACTAGGATCCACGTTTGGAGGCTTTGGCCATAAGTGTCCGCTAATGGGATGGCCACCCCCAGAGCCTCCTGGTTGTGCCCGTCGTGTTGTAAGGTGCACAGCAGGTCAATCCCAAGCAGGGCTGGGATTTTACTTGCCTTCAGTACACATCCTGCAAGCGAAGAGAAGGGACGTACGGGCACTTTGAGGGCTGGCACAGGGATGCCCTGAATCCAGCCCAGGTTTTTCTAATAAAACAAACAATTTCCCAACATCCTTGTACAGAGCAGTGGGGATGACTATGGGAAAAACAACCAGGCAGAGCTGCAGCCAGCCTGTCCCATCCATGGGGCCAGGTTGCTACTGTCCTGTGGCCATGTCCTTGTCCCCACCGCTGTAAGAGCACCTTGCCCAGGGCTATGCCCATCTCCTGCTGCTCCTCTGCACCCCACCAGCCACCCCTGCCTTGACTGAGGCAGACAAAGGTGAAATGAAAGTACATCCAATAAAATCTGAGGGAGTAAAATCTGTCTGAAGAGCGAAGGAGGAATCAACATTTATTCTTCTTCACAGATTATTGGCAAGAAAGACAATTAGATGGCCTGATGTAATAGCATCTAATTTCCTTGCGAGATTGAAAATTAGTTGTTGTAATGGCATACCAATACTTGGCTTTCTGATTACCAAGTGTATATTAAAGTATATATATCCCATTTAGATTTACTAATTTGCTATTATTTGCCTGAAGATGGTAATTTATTGCCTGAAAATACTGAAGGGAAGAAGTCTCTTGCTGCTTTTAAGCCTGGATATAATTTTGACCTTAAGAAAGAGCAAGACAGATATGAAAGAGCATATTAGATGTTGTTATTACCGTAATAAAAAAAAAAAATAAAGATAAAAATCATAGTGCAGAAAGACTCTAAGACAACTATTAAGCATTTGTCATATAAAGAAAATCAAAATTTAACTTATTAGATATTCTGGCACTTTAAAGATTCATCATGAAAAAATACTTCTAACAGTGAAGCATTTATACAATATGTCATTGATGAGCTGTCTGCTTAAACGTTTAAGGAGTTTGGAAAAAGATGAAAAAATGTCAAAGAGTATTTTTATTATTCTGACAGACTGTTTCATTATATTTAAATGTATATTTAATAGTGAAACGGTATGGTATGAGATTTTTAACAGAGCACGGTGGGCTCATTGTCTTGTCCTGACATGGTGGTTAGTGAGCATCACCAAGCCAGGCACGTAGCTTGTTGACTAAAATAATGTTAGAGTTATACATCAGACTACTCACCCTGCTATTTGGTTCCATAAGATGCTTAGAGCCAGGGGGAATTTTTCTACCTTTATGGTGATTGAAAGACTATTTATTTTTTTTAATACTATACTGAATTTGAAGCCATTGGATTGAATAAGCTTAAAATTAAGCATATCTTAAAAGCTCGATCGATGGAGACTTAGCTTCTAAATGTCTTCAGTATGAACCTTCTGGAGGACATAAAAGGGCTCCATGTGATAAGAAATGAGCTATCAAGTGCTGCTCTTGAGACATCATCCTCAACTCACCGAAGTCAACAGGAAGCTACTGAGAGTCTTCAGTGGGCTTAGGATCGGATGTTCGGCGTGTTAACGGTAAGAGCATTTTGTGTTCGCTTTGTGCACTCGGTCGAACGAACCCAGTGAATCTCTATGGCAACCCTGGAGCACCTCACAGGAGCTATGTGCACTAATAGAGTTTTCTTCCCAGAAAGCATTCGCATTGATTTCTCTGGCTTGTGCCTACCGTCTCCTTCAGCCCACCATATCTCAATCTGGGGACCATAGCATTGCCAAAATGTCAAAACCACAGCCAAATGCTGTGCTCGCCTCTGCTGGGCACTGCGCTTGGCTCCTTGTCTTCATTAGCACCATTAATGATGTAATTAGTAGCATGACACTTGGGTAAGCCCAAGGTCTAGAAGAATGCTGGTGAAAATCTTACTAAACATGGAGATGTAAATGCAGGAGTGGGTATTATTCTAGAATGACTTCTGTCCTCCCTCTTTTATTTTATTTTTTTTTTAATAAAAAGTATGCTAACAGCTGATGGTTATGTCTGTTGTGGATTTCCATTTTCTTTGTTTTTAAGTAAAATCACAAAGTAAATAAAAGGAACAATGGATCTCATCTTGCTAAATACAGAAATTTCTTATTTATATAAAATAAAAATGAGAATTTTGTAGAAAAAAATTACCATTTATTAATATTTGTTCCTGTTTGGTGGTGTCATCATTGCTAATCCTCTGCAGTGTTGTTTTAGAACATTTCTGCAGTAAATGAAAACCCGGGGTAATGAAACACTTCAGGACCAGCCTGCTGTGACTGACTTCGTTTTGTGTTCCATGGCTTCATGCTCATCACGATGGCAGTGTTTGAGGGCCCTTCCCCAGCACGGCACATTTCTTTGTAAGCAATCCATCGGTACGTTGGATGTACCAAGCTGAGCCCAGCTGAGTGCGGGGGGAGGCCAGGCACACAATTCGCATTCAGTTATTTACTTACTCTCTGGCCATATATTTAAATGTCTTAATTTTGAACCTAGTCCCAGTGTTTCTGTTAATGATTTTCTTGAAGCCCTTCTTAAATGACTTCAAGAAAATAATAGTGGCATTTATGGTAACAGTCCCCACTACGCTGAGATGTATCAAAGATATCAGATGTTCTCAGTTAGAAGCCATAAAGGCTGTTGTTATACGTCTGCAGGTTTTGGAGAAGAGGATCTGGTCTGCTCTATAAAAGGCTCCTTGGTCAGACATGCCTTTTGGTTTCCCTGTGCTATGGGATGCATTTGACTCCACTGGTCTTTTCGCTTTTTAGTTTTAGCCAGGTCTGCAAATTATTCCTTCCTGCTGGCAATGTGAACCTTGTTAGCTTCCTGGATGATGGGAGCAGCACAGTCCCAAGCATATTTTTTGCTGCTCAGTGATGCCTAGCAAAGTGCATCCTGTGAAATGCCACTTCATCTCATGTTTCTCAGTTTCAAACTCATTTTCACATTCAAAATATGGCAAAAATTATTGCTGCACAAGACACCACGGCACGTCAGGAAGGATGCTAAGTCATTCATTTAATTAGACAGCAATTGGTGCTGGCTGGAGTGCTCCATAATGCAAAGCAGCAGCGTGTAAGTCAAGGGGACGAGCTGCTCGACTGCTCGTTGTTGACTCAGTCTCAAGTTTTGGCATCCAAAGCCATGCCAAGTGGGGCCACCCCAGCGTGCTGTGACCAGCACCCGTAGGACAGTGCTGAGCTCTGCTGCTGTGCTGCCTGCCCTCCGGATGTGCAGGAGAATGAAAAGTACTCTATTTCTATACCTTTTAATAAAACAGCACAGTTTGGAGAAAACAAACTTTACTTGATACGCTATTTATATTCTCTCTTATCTTTGATTACCTTTGGCTATGTGATCTAATCATGTCCATTTATTAATGAGGTTCCTTATAGCCACTTCAGGCGATGTAGGAAAATTGACTGTAGGAGCTTACGGAGCAATTTAAGGCCAAATCCTGATTGCTGAACATAATGAAGTATGCTAACTGATGCATGGAGATCTGTTGATTACTTTAAACAACCTTAAATGAAAGAAGACAAATGACCCATGTGGGTGGAATTGATGTAACTGGTCTATGAAAAAAT